TCACGGACTACATATCTACGTCTACTCACATGGATTCATAATCAGTCTGATGACTTTTGCTTTTAAATCACATATAAAGGAAGAGTTAAGGCCGAGGGGCAATCCTGCTGTCTTTTCTGGTCACCTATTGGTGGCTTCTGCCGGCTCTTTATTTCTTTAATGGCTTTGGGTCACAGTCTAAGCCTTTCATTTCAGCCTGAAGGACTAAAAGCATTTCTTGTAAGGCACCTCTTCTAATAACAGTCTTCCTTACGTGTTTTCATCTGGGAACATCTTCAATTTCTCTTCTATTCTCAAAGGATGTCTTGCTTCCTCTTTCAGCACATCTTGGTCATGTTGTTCCACTGTGTCTAGACTAAAATTGGCTGCTGACCTGACGGAGGATTCCTTGTATATGACAGATTGCTTTTTTCTTCCTACTTTCAGGATTTTCTCTTTTGACAATCTGTCTGTAGTATGTTTTGGTGTGGATCTCTTTGAATCTACAGTTTGAAACTTACTGAACTTATTAGGTATACCTATTTACATACTCCAGCAAATTTGTGAATTTGAATAAAAGTTAATAAAAGAAATAAAGGAAAAGGAGAATCAAAATGATACACTACAAAAAACTATTCAAAATACATGTGCATTCAAACACTTGCCATGCTAGTTTTCCTCATTCTTTCCTTTCTGCTCCTCATACAGAAGAATTTCAAGGGCCTTATCTTCAAGTGCACTGACTCTTTCTTCTTCCTACTCAGATGTGCTGTTGAACCCCTCCAGTGCATTTTTCATTTTGGTCATTATAGTTTGCAGTTTCAAACTGGCTCCTTTTTATCATTTCTATCTCCTTATTGAATTGCCCATTGTTCATACATAATCCACTGATTTGGGGTCCATGATTCATTGAGCTCACTGAGCATATTTAATGCAAGGATGTGCTGTCTCTGGCTACTAATTCCTCAGGAATAGTTTCTATCAAAGCCTTTTTATTTTTCTTCCTGCAAGTGAACCATATTTTCCTTTCTTTGTATGTTTTGTGATTTGGGGAAAACTGAACACTGAGTACTATGATGGGATTGCTCTGAAAAGCAGATGGTCCCTCCCCAGGAGCTGATTCTGTGGCTTGTGGAAGGCTGTCTCCTGTTTCTACTGTGAGTCTTGCAGACTGTTTTTGTGAGGACTGTATTCCGTGTTGTGTGCAGTCTGTCAGTTTTCTGTTCCTTTGTCTCTGGGGTCACCTGTGATGGAGGTTTCCTGAACTGCTGAATCTCAGCGGTGTCTTGCTTGGTCACTGTGTCTGATTGTGTTCCAAAGCAGGGGATTTCAGTAGTCCCCTCCCACCCCCAACTTGACGGTTGTTTCCCTGGAGAGCCTGAACCCTGGAGCTTCCTACTCTGCCATTTTCTGTTGCAAATGCTATCTGTAGACAGCAACATTTCAGAGGTTGCTCCATACTCTGTGAAACACCCCGATCTCTTGTCCTAGGAGTTCTGAGGGGCCCTCAGCACACGACCCAGCTTACTGAGACTGAGATGAATGTGTGCCCCATGTACGCTACACATGTTGCCTTCAGCATGCCTCAGAAGAGCGGCTGGCCCTTCTTACATCTACAAAGAATAAACTGAGAATCCCGTGAGATTTCCTATTTCAACATGAAATGCCAAAGTCTGTCCCATTTATGTTAATACAGGCAATGAAAGAACAAAACCATAATGACCAGGTTGTAGTAGAAACAGAATTTTAATATAATATTCAAGTCTAGCATTTTCTATTTACAACAAATAAATATTGCCCCAACCCAATCAGTAAACTTTTTTTTTTGCTTTTTGCTTTTTATACAAATATTCAACCCCTCCCCCTCCCCCCAAGCCCTCCTTCCCCCAAACCCCGTCTCACGTGGTCTCGTAAAGCCCAGGATGCAGTGGTGAATGGCACTTTCAGTGGCAGGAGATTCGACGCCAACGGAGCTGTCCTCACTTGCCAGGTGAAGAGTGTGGCCCATGAGAGGGCTTCTCTCTCCGCTCCCAGGGCGGGCGGGCGGGCTGTGTGGTGGGTGACACCCTTACTCTCAGTTGGCCCTGGAGATGGACTCTTTGGTGCAGCCTGAGAAAGGCTAGAGTGGTGGGAGGAGGGGCCAGGACCCCAGGATGGTCACAGGCGAATGCCTGTAGGCACCAGGAGAGAACTGCAGTGGTCAGACCCGCTGGGTGAGGGGCGCCCTGGGGTCCCCGCGGGCACAGGTGGTGGTGACTTGCACCTGAGAAGGTGTCAGGAACTGTACAGAGGGCAGTGGCCAGGGGCAGGCAGAGCACCATGCCCATTGGCAGCGCTTCTTAGCCAGTCAGCTAGTCCTCTGTGGCAGAGAGCAGAAGGCACCTAAGGCAGCGGGTGGTCCACGGAGGCCAGGTCAGCCTGTCAACTGGCAGGTGTCAATCCCGGCAGCAGGAGAGGTTCAGGTGAACTGGAGTCTGGGGGTGGCCTGGGCTGGCAGGTGGGTAGAAGGGGGCTGCTTGTCCTGAGCCACTCTCGTCTCTGTGCTCACCACTGGCCAGCCCACCCTAGGGAGATGTCCTTAGAAGATGCCCTTGGCAATCCTGAGCCCTTTCTGCTTCATGCGAGGGAGGGTGGAGCTGGCTCCGTGCTTGACCTTTGCCCCCTTGGAGAAGGTCCGCTTCTTCAGGACAAAGTCATAGTTGGCGGTAGAGTTCATGGCGTAGAACACATTGGCGTTTTCAGGGATCTTTAGTTCTGGTGAGAGGGGGGCAGAGGGGTGGTCATGGTATTCACAGGTCCCCACAGGATCCACTACCTGAGTCTCCTTTAGGACAGGCCTAAGCCACAGGCCTGAGATCCCCCAGTCCAGCTCCAGGACCACCAGGGACCCCCTGGAGGCTTTCTGCCTGAAGACAGACCTTGCTGAGGCCCTGATGGGATCTTGTTTAACAAGGGTCTTGATCTCCAGAATGCGGCGGCTGGGCCTAGAGCTGGCAACGGGTCACCCCACGCCGCCCACAGAGCTGCCTTTGTGGTCCTGACCCTTCCTAGAGCAGGCTTTGCAGACCCAGCACCTCTCCCGAGTGCTCCCGACCATGGCCCCAAGGACCACAGACAGCAGGCCTCATCCCAGGCCCCCTGTGCACCCCACGGGACCCAGGCTGCCAGCAAGTCCTTCCTCTGGGTCGTTTCTGGCCTGGAGCCTGCTCTCAATCCTGCTGGGCCGAGTCGTGGGGCTCTGACTAGTCCTGGCCTCCCCAGGCCTCAGTCTTTTCCGTAAGGCAGGGGCGCCCCCAATCCTGCGCACCAAACCAAAGTGGTGCGAGGTGCGGGGAGAGGGTCTAGAATGCGACCCGCGGGGATGATGGGTGTCGCTGCTGACTGGGCTAAGGCTGGCAGGGATGTGTCCAGGGCCGCCTTGGGGCAGGCACTGTGTGGCCTGGGGCAGGAGTGGTGCTAGCCGTCCCCCACCCCTGCCATCCCGTCACTCACTGCGGTCCCCTGAGATGATCTGCAGCAGCTCGTAGTCATCGGGCTCCTCCTCGTCCAGGTTGTGTTTGTCCAGGGCCTTGCGAATGACAGTGGGAGCCTTATCCTGGCTGGTCACCTGGGGCAGAGCAGGGGACCGTCCTTCAGGGCACAGGCCCTAGAGCGGCCCCCCAGAGTGCAGGGCCAGGGACCCTCCAGAGTCTCCTGCGCTCTCAGAGCAGGGGCTCACACTCTCATCCCCTCTGGTTCCCTGAGGGTGGCCTCCTTGGAAGGAAGGGTGGTCCTTCCCCGCTGTTCCTAGCCCCCTTCTCCCACAACAGAGACTGCTGTGTCCCCCATGTCCCCTGGGGAGCCGTGTGAACCCCAGGGATAACAAGATTGACACATCTGGGGAGCAGATGGCCTCTAATCCAACCCAAGAGAACCGGGTCTGCTCTGGGCTGGAGGCTGGGGGTGGGTGGCACAGGTCAGAGGCCCGGAGGCCTGGACCCTGAAGGCGGCCAGGGCACAGGCAGGGCTCAGACAGAGGTCATGCAGGTGAGTGCTTACTGACAGCCAGGATACCTCCTGGCATGCCTGACCCCAGCAGGATAGAGGTGGCCGACAGCTCCCTGCAGCCAGAGGCCTGGACGGGCAGACCCCATTGGCTCTGGGTTCAGAGACATCCAGACTCGCACCGCCGCTGGCCCCTCCGTGGCTGCCACCATGTGGCTGCCCCCACTCTCTTGGCCTGGATCCCTCCCTGCCCCTCCACCAGCCAGTGCCCCACGGAGGCACCCAGAGTCACTGCTGCCTCCTCTGCTCCAGCCTCCAGAGCTGTATCTCCTTCCTGAGCAAAGTCAAGGCCAGACCCTGCTCCTGTGGGCCCATTCCTCCCCTCCACTCCCTGGGATGAAGCCCTTGGCATTGACCACTTCTTCTTACTCCTGTCTCCCCTCTTGACCCCTAGAACATCGACTCCAGGAGGGCTTGGGATGGTCCTTGGTGCTCAACACGTCTGCCACCTGGCTGGGTGAGCGCGAGGGGCCACCCCGGCCAGCAGGCTCACCAGGATGCTCTTGTACATGTTGCCGTTGTCCACGTCCAGGCTGACGCGGACGATGCAGCAGTCGCCCACCTGCTGGTTGTAGAGCGGCAGGGAGGAGCTGTAGCTGCAGACCCCCGAGACGGAGCGCTTGTGGGTGCGAGTGGTGGCCACGGGCGTGGTGCAGGCGGACGATGAGGAGGTGCTGCTGGAGGCCGAGCTGATGCCGGAGGTCTCTGGGGAGGACTGGGAGGCCGACTCCCAGAACTGTGGGGGACGGTGACATCAGCAGAAGCCCAGACCCTGAGGGGCACCTGGAGGGCCACTGGAGGGATTTCCCGGCCCTCGGGTGGATGCGGAGAGGGGTGGGGACGCTCGCGCCAGGAGGCAGGGTGGGGGACGGGCAGGTGGGCACCTTCTTTTCCTGGCCATCAGGGGACTCTGGGACGAAGCTCATGTTGATCTCCTCCACGTCGGAGCTGGAGGAGCCGGCCGAGTGCACGCTGAGCGCATCTGTGATGTCCCCGCTGCTGAGGTAGGAGCCACACCTGAGCTGGTCACACGACCTGGAGTGGGAGCTGCTGCTGGTGCTGAGCTCTGTGCTGGGGGCCTGGCGGCTGGACGACACGGCTGGCTTACCAGAGGCCCCCCGTGAGGGACACATCCCACCCTGTCCCCGTCCCCTGAGGCACTCTGTACAGGGGGTACTGGCTGGAGGCTTGGTCAATCACCAGGACCCACCCCTCCCACCTACAGCCGTCTGAGACCATTCAGAAGCGCTGGTTCCCAGAGGAGGAAACCGGGGCCCTGTCACAGGAATGGTCAGAGATGGTGCAGTCCAGTGCTGGCCTGTGTGGCTTAGCCCTGAAGCGCCTCTGGCCCTGGCTGCTGGGTCGGACACCTACTCGCTCCAGCGCTTCACAATGGCAGTGCTCTTCTTGGTCTTGAGGGTGTTGCTGGCAGACTCAGATGGGGGCTCCAGCTCACAGGACAGGCTGTAGCTACAGGCAGGGACGGCGGTGAGGCCACCAGGAGCTGCATGCGGGCCTCTTCCCAGGACCTCCCCAGAAGCTGGACCTGGGGGCCACCGCCCTCCTGGTCCGACACTGACCAAAATCTCAGGTCCCAACCTCTTTGGAGCCAGTCCAGGCCACCCTCGATGTCTCCAGCTCCTGCCCAGCCTCACCTCTCGGCCTCACTGAGCCACTCCATGGCCCGGAACCAGGACCCAAAGTGCTCCGCGGGCGCGATGCTGTAATTGTTGCAGGCTGACTGAAGCAGCTTGATCTGCGCAATGACCTCAAACTCCTGGGCGAGGGGCGGACAGGAGGGTGAGGGGCCCTGTCCAGGCACAGGGCAAGGCAGGGGCTGCCCTCTGGGACTTTGCTTGGGTCCCTCTGCCCCTCCAGGACCCTCTCTGAACCACAGCCACTCCTTGGCAGCCAGCCCAGACCCGACTCCTTCCCGCCCTTCTCAGTCACCAAACATGTAGTGCTCACCTTCCTCCTCTTCTCGAAGTTGATCAACCTTCCCTGCAAGACAGACAACCAGCATCCCTCAGGGAGCTGCCCTCCACCTTTAGGGCCTCCTGCCTCTGCCCCCCCCCACGAGAACCTCCAGGGGACGGGGCACCTGCACAGGCACAGGCTCTGGGGATAACGGAGACCGAGGCTTTGGGTGAGGAGGCCCTATCGTGGCCACCGCAGGCTGCCTGACCTTCACTCATGCCCACAGCTACCCGAGAGCAATTGCGTCCACACCCCACAGCCAGGCAGCCTGTGGCACACAGGAGGGTGTCGCGTTCCCCTGCACGGGACCATGAAGCTCTCAGCAGTACTGCGGGCTCAGGGGCCAGCAAGGGCTCTCTCCTCCCAAGCCTTGGGACCCAGGACCCCAACCCAGTTCCTGCCCTGCCCCCAGCCTTGGGCTCACTCACATACAGATAATCCTTCATGGCAGTGTCCAGCATCACCAGGTCAGTGAGAAACGTGCCCAGGTAGGGGACGGTGCCCTGGATGACACCCTGTGGCATGGGGTGGGGGGTGATAAGTAAGGCCTGGGGCCCTGCCCTGAAGGCTTCTTAGCCTGACCCTAACCCCACGTGGCCTCCCACTGGGAGCAGTCTGGGAACCTTAAGCCACCTCTGTCCCAAGTCCCCCTCCTAGACTCTGTGGACCCCAATCTGTCTCTGTGCACCTCCCTGGCTGGCATGTGGCAGATGCCCAAGGTTATGTGACTCCTGATCACCCCTCCCCACCCAAAACTCTGCCAGACCCTGGGTCTGGGGCCTCAGCTCATCCCCCATGATGCCAGCTGGTCAGGGCGTGGCCCCGCCTGGGTCCAGGGGAGATCAGGTTCAATGGGGGCTCAGGGGCAACAGGAGGGAAGGAGTAGGGAGCCCCTTCCTCTCCAGCTCCCCCAGCACCCATATCCCTCCCTGGCCTTGGGCATGGTCACTCACCGATTCCTTTGGCCGCCTCTGGGTTCTCTTGGGATTCATCTCCAGGGTCGCAAACTTGGAGGTCCCCTCCTGCCAGGGTGGAGGATGGGGTCAGAGCCTTCCCTTGCCCCTCATCCATCAGTACCCCTGACCTTGGGCCCACGGGCTGGTGCCAAGTTCCTGCTGCCCCTGGCATTCTGCTCCAGCACTCACTAGTGGGGACCCTGAGTTGGCAGCCTGGCCTCTCTGTGCCAGTTTCCTCATCTACAAAGTGGGAACAGGACTACACCTGCCTAGGGGGCAGAGAGGGCTCGGTGCCACGTTACTGGCACCGGTGCTGTCCCGACTCGCCCTCGGCAGCACAGTCTGCTCAGAGCCCACATGTTCCTTTTCCTCTTGAGCCTCATCACCTCGTGAATTGGCATCTGTACTCTTCCATTTGCCAGATGAGAAAACTGAGGCCCATGGGGGGTGGTGCTTGGAGGGCAGGCTGTCCACATCTCTCTGGCCAGTGACGGGGTTCTGTCTTTCCCTCGGGAACACTGACGAGGCTCCCGACACTCTGCTTTCATGCCACACACGGGGATTTCAATGTGGGATGCTTCTTCCTGACCTAGCTAGAAAGCGTCCCTTCCAGGGGCCCTGGGCCACCCTGTCCCACAGAACAGGCCTTTCTCTTCACTCCTCACTGATTTAGCTTGCATGCCCAGGGTCTCCAGCTGAGCTGAACCTCAAGTGGGGAGAGGGACAAGGTGTCTGGGTTCCTGCCTGCCCCAGCCCCTAAGTGGCTCCCGTCTCCCCGGGGCCCTGGCAACATTCCCCTGCAGAAAGCTGTCATTCTCCACTCGGGACTCCTGGGGGCCACCGCACACTGACCAGGGGTCTGGGGTGGAGACACTCTGCTTTCTCCTTTATAGGGAGGCTTCTGAGGTGGGCTACTTGGCACCTGCCCCTGCTCCAAGGAGTGTGCAACCTCTTGAGGGTTCTATGACCTGCCAGCAGCCTCTGCTCTTGGGGCAGAGCCCAGCGCCACCAGGGCAGCCAGATCTGCCTCTTGAGTCTGAATGTCAGGACCCAAGCCTGGCGGCCCCTTTGGTTGACTGGCCCTGGGCACCCCCTGCAGATTCCCATTCCTGGCAGACCTCTCCTCTGGGGTGTGCATTCACGCAGAAGTGGTGGCAGGGGCCTGGGTGGCTCGAGGAAGGAAGCCTCCCCCTCGGTCCACCCTACAGCCTGCATGAGGCCACATCCCAGCAGACAGCTGCAGGCCTGCTGACCCTGCCTACTCCTCCACCCTCAGGAACAGTGGGTCCTCCTGTCTCGAAACAGACCCTCTTCCCTCTGTCCAGAGAGACAGGACTGGAAGTTTTCAAGGAAGCGTTTGATGAGGATCTGACCCTCAGCCTGTCTCCCCCTCCATCCACCCCAGGACCCCCCTGACCTTGATGAGCAGCTCTCTGCTCAAGGAGTAGTTGTTCTCATCAGAGAAGATCTCAGATAGCTTCTGGAATATTCGGAAGCTGTCCCTGTAGGAAGAATGAAGAGAAGATGACACTTCGGAAGGGTGGGGAGGGGTGTGACCGCCTTCCAACTGCCTGGGAAAATGGGCTGCAGATGGGCTCCAGGGCCTTACAGCCTGGGGAGGGGAGCTCCTGGCTGGCGCAAGGGGGACCCCATCCCCATTTCTGCTGAGCAGTGTTTTCACCTGTTCTGATTTCAATTGGACAAAGATTCTGTGGTTACAGGTAAAAACCTGAGCATTGCCCTGCAGGCCCCAACTGGGGTCTGGCGGAGGAGGAAACCGAGGCCTGATGCAGAATGCTGATGGGTCTTGAGACCCGCGGCGCCCGCCAGGGCTCCCGCCCTCAGGGCTCATGCCTGCCCCAGTTCACCGAGCTCCTGGGGAGAGCGCCCACCTGGAGACCTCCTCCCACGTCTTCTTCAGGCGGTGGATGGCGTTGCTCTGCAGGGCAGAGAGGATGGCGTAGAGAGAGGAGAAGTTCTTCAGGACTCGGCACTCCTGGGGACAAGGACTCTGTGAGCCACGCCTGGAGCTCCTGCCAACTCCTGCTGGACCCCTGGGCTGGCCCAGCCCTTGAGATGGTGCCAGGGGAGTCCCTGAGGGATGCCTGGGGCCCTGGGGGAATGAGTGCCCAGGCAGACTCAAGGCCAGCATGGCCCTGGGGAGGAGCGGCCTGGGGTCCACGCAGGGGCTCAGACTACACACCACATTCTGAGAGCAGATAAAGGTGAAGAGGTGTCCCTGGGCTCCTCTCACCACATACCCTGGCCACTTCGACCCAGTGTTCCACCACCCGGGCCCTGTCTGAGGCCTTCATGCTCCGGTCCCCAAGGCAGGTAGTGATGACACAGTTGGCCACATTGTTGAACTGGGTGACGGTGGCACGGATAGTGGGTGCTAGGTGCTCCTTGCCCTTCTTGTCCCTCTGGGACCAGATGGAACCCAGGCAGTGGTAGGGCACCACCTTCTTGAACAGCTCCTGGGGAGGAAGGTCAGGGTCACCCACCTGTGTTGCAGACCACTGTCCCCCAGGCCTGGACTGGAGCCCTGTGGTCAGGGCTGGAGCTCAGGAAGTTGAGGATGTGGCTTGACCTTGTGGGAATCCCTGGGTTTTGTTCCCTGACCACCGAGGACACCCTGCACGTGAGGAACCCAGGGTGAAATCTCGGCAGGAAAGCAAAAATAGCATTTTCTGTGCCAGTCTCTGTCCAAGTACCAGGAAGAGGCTTCCGCCTGAGGTCCCAAGGCACCCTCTGCCCTCCATGTTCACATGCCCAACTGGGCTTTACCCAGAGTCTGCTAGGACAGTGCACATCAGGTGCCTAATAAGTGCTGAGGCTGGCAAGGCCTCCTGGGCAGACCCTGGGTGACCTGTGGGCCTGGGGGCTCCATAGTGAGCACCTGTCCTCCCTGGGTCAGGCCCGCCAAGCTGTGTCCTGTCTCCTTGTGTCCTTGTACAGTCACCCTATGGGAAGCAGGGGTGTCCCATGGCCCCGAGGGAGTGGGCCTAGGGCATGTATTCTGCACAGGTGGAGCCGGGATTAGGATCGGAACACAGCTCTGGGGCAGGGGATGGCAGGTCTGTGCGTCTGAGGACAGAAGGAAGGCCACTCCCTCCTGCCCAAGCCGCACTCAGCCACTCACCGCATCCATCAGCGTGAACTGCTCTGCCACCAGGTCAGGAGGGAATGCTAAGAGGTGAGGCTTCTCCTGGCTCAGCCCATTCTCCGTGGACACAGGCGAAGGCCAGCAAGGTTCCACTGACAGCGCGGGTGCTGAAGTGGGCTCTGGCTCTAGAGTCTGTGACAGGGCCGGTTCCCGTTCTGGAGCAGGTGATGCAATTGGCTCTGGCTCTGGAGCTGGTGCTGGAACTGGCTCCTGATCCAGAACGGGTGCTGGAGCTGCCTGTAGCTCCGAGGCTGGTGCTGTGGGCTGCAGCTCTGGAGCGGATGCTGGTGCTGCCACTGGACTGGGTGCCAGGGCTGGTTCTGGAGCTGGCTCTGGCTGTAGCTCTGGAGTTGGTTTCAGAGCCAGCACTGGAGCTGCTGCTAGCGCTACAGGAGCACAGACCCAACATGACTGCCTGCCTGAGCCTGCCCAAAGACAGACACCCCGAGCCCACACAGGACGACCTCCCCGACTGCAGAGCATCCCGACCCGCAAGGCTCATCCTTGCTTCTGGCCCAGCGCCAGCCCTGGAGCCTGCTCTCCATGGTGCCCAGCTTGACGCTTCCTCATGTGCCCTCAGACACTCACCCCAGGTCTCCTCGCCCTCGGGCTCAGCCTCGCTGGGCTCCAGGTCCTCCAGCTGGGCCAGAAGAAGGTGGGCACGGCGCTCCAGGTCCGAGCCAGGCATGTTGAGCTGCACATAAGCCACCAGCTGCTTGAGGCAGGGAAAGTCCGGAGGCTGGCAGAAATCCTCCGAGTACTGGTCCAGCCAGGTCCCCAGGATGGAGGAGATGGCGCTGGGGACCAGAGGGTGAGCAGCAATCAGAGGTCTGGCCTCTCCTACCCTATGGCCTCTCACATTCCTATGGGCCTGGGCTCCTGCGCCTCCCCTGTCCCTCTAGAGGCCAGTCCAACCCAGTCCAATCCAAGCCCCTTTGGCTGTACAGGTCACCAGGCCAGGTTACAAAGATCTTCCACTAGAGGGAGCCCTGGGGCAACGATCAGACCAACTCCCCTTAAAGGTCTCCAGGGAAGCCTGACACTCCTCTGTCTGCCTCCTACCCCACTCCCCAATGCACACTCCACCACCTCCTTCCAGCACTCACAGGGCCCCATCGACACCTCAGCCTGTGGCTCGTGCTGCCACGCAACCTCATTTTCTGTGAGCTGTGTGTGGGTCTTGTCTCCCGAAGGGCACGGCCTGTCCCCTGCACTCACTGAGTCCCCCTGGGGACCAGCTGAGAACCCATTATCAAGGAGCTGAGCATGATCAGCTGCTCCCCAGCCCTCCAGTCCAGCCTTGACACAGGACAGGTGGGCAGGCCCGGCTGGGCTGGGCTGGGCCGGGCCAGGGTGGGGATGCATGGCCACAGGCCAGCTCTGGGCCCCAGCCTCCCCTCTGCTCCCAGGGGTCCTGGGACCTCACCCACAGCTCTGTCCTCCTCCTGCAGGCAAAGCCCCAGACCTCAGCCTACCAGCAGGAATCAAAAGTGGGAGCCAGTGTTTGCCTAGCCCTCCCAAGGCACAGCCTCCGATGCCCCCACTTTGGAGACAGAAGCCCTCCCTTGACCCAAAGCTCACTCACTTTTTAAGTTGCTCCTGAGGTCCGCCATTCTCACTGGAGTAGGGCAGGATGCAGCCATATCTAGGGGAGGCCGTGAGGGCGTCACATCTACCGTACCTGCTTATGACGTCTAGGGTTACTGGCTGACCCCCGACAGGAGGGGCCAGGACCGCAGGGGTCTCCCTGCTCTTTTCACCAGGTGATGCCCATGCCTGGAAATGTACTTGCACACAGCAGGCACTGCATATATGTTCACTGAATGAATGAGCCCAACCAGCTGCTTCTCCAATACCCCAGGGGTCCCTGCTGTGGCTACATCTAGTCCTCCCCAACCAGATGGAATCTGGACCCTCCTTTACAAATGGGGAAACTGCTTTGCCCCAGGCAGCGAGCTTCTTCATGGGGGAGGGGCACTCACAGCCCTGGGCGGGCACTCACAGCGCCAGGCTGGGCAGGCACTTCAGACTCATGCCACTTGGTCCTCACTACTCATAAGGGTGGTGCTCTGAGTACCTGCGTTTCCCCAGAGCAAACTGGGGCTCAGACAGGAGCTGGCGTTCCCATGACCCCGCGGAGTCCCTCTGGGCTTGGAGGTGGGGCTCACCTTTTAAAGAGCAGGTCCAGCACCTGCTGGGTAGTAGTGAAGGCTCTGTAGGTGCACAGGAAGACAGTGACATAGGAAAGGTCGCTGCCCTGGAAGGCGGGCACCAGGTGCTCCACCAGCTTCTCCAGCGTGCCCGCCTTCACGGTGCGCACCTTGCAGGTCTCATAGAGGTTCAGCGCCGACTCGTTCTCACCCTGGGCAGACAAGGGAGGGGCAGTCTGTGGTAGCACAAGCCTCCAGAGTGGATGGAGCTTAGGCCAAACTCCCAAGTACTCAGCAGCTGTGGCCGGAGTTGGGACAGGAGGGTCTCCAGAGGAAAAGGGGTCTTGGCCTTAAAAGTAGAATTTGAAATGTGGGAGTGATTACAACTACTGATTCCTTTGGGCCAGTGTGAGGAGGGACGTTCACAGCCTCAGATAATGGTGGGCCTCTCCGAGGGAGTCCTAAGGAGCACCCATCCAGAGAGAAGATGGGACTGTCCTAGGGCAGGGGAACAGCCTGTCAGGACACACAGGTGGTGTTCCCTCGGTCGCAGAGGGAGGTCGCCACATGGCACAGAAGCAGACACAGGAGTACGGGGCTGAACAGCTGCAGCAGTAGCCTCCCTTCTGGAGACTTAGGAGCCGAGTCACATCCCCTCATTGACCTGGAGGGGCCTGGGGATGTGCTCTGTGAGGTGGTGACGTGCAGGAAGCGTATGTGACAGCTGTGCCTGTGCTTTTTAGGTGAAGACAGCTGCACTAGGTATACGAATGCAGGGCTGGGAGAAGGTGCAGTGAGGTCAGCTGACAGCTGTGGGGACACCTGGGAACACGGTGCAGCCTGACGAGAGGTGGGACAGAAGTGAGAACATCTTCTCCCACACTTGGCTGCTGTAATCAGGGCCTCGGCACCTGATCAGGAGCTGGGGGGCCCTGGGAGGGATGGGGAGCAAAGGCCCAGAGTCTTCTCAGGTGGGATAGGGCCCTGGTGGCTCTGGGAAGGAGCCTGGCATTCGGGATCTGTGTCCTGGGCTTGAGTGGAGACCCTGGCACACACTTACCCCGAGCCAGCGCTGGCCCTTGCTGGCCCCATGATGCAGCTGCACCTTGCGCAGGGAGATGGAGTAGATGACCCCGTTGACCAGCTCCTCACCGATCTCCTGCGTGGAGCTCTGCAAAGACAGTGCCCGGCAGCCGGGCCCTGGCGTTAGGGGCCTGCCTGGCCTGAGTAGCCTTCTGTCTCCAAGAGGAGGCACAGATGCGTGGCCGCGCAGACCTCCAGCTCCAGGTAAAATAAAAACATCAGGACAGGGGCTGCTGCACCACGTTCCCCTTCTCACCCAGCCAGTAACACCCTGGGGTGTGGACAATGGGCCCCTGGGCTCCCAAGCGCCCAACCAGCTGCTCCGGACTGGCCACCTCTCGCTCCATCCTCTCTCCGGGATGGGCACTGAAATTGACCACTTCATAGATGGGCAGGTGCCGCTAAGAGGAGCAGCTGACCCTTCACTGAGCTGCCTCAGGTAAACAGTGGCTAGGACCCCAAGGCCCTGCTTCTGTGGCCCCCCAAGAAGGCAGCTCCTCAGGACAGGGGTGCTGCAGCCATCCTGCTCCCCTCTCTTCTACCCCACTTGGGGTCCCCAGCTGACCCAGCTACAGTGGAAAGCTGTTCCTGGCCCAGCCCTGGGTCAGCAGCATGGGTCTGGGGCAGGTGTGTGGCATCTCTGAGGGCTATGTCACAGGCCACTTCCTTCCCCTCTGCTCATTTATGCCCTTGTGCCCACGTGGGCGACGAGGCGTTCCTATCTCTGTTCCTCTTCGTGGGAGCGTGGTGGATATGAATGGCGGAGGAGACGGGACCAGTGGTGGTGCTGGGGTCCACAGAACCCCCTAAACATGGGATATTGGCTGGGGCAGAAAGTGGGGTCCTCTGACTGCTCCCAGGCTCCAGGGCAAGAAGGAAAGGCTTTTATTTTAGGAGCAGACTCTGCCCACCGGGCGGGCTAGCTCAGGGGGCTGCATCCTGCTTAGCCATGCCACCCCGGCGGCAGGGCAGCGCCCACCTCACTGTCCAGGGAAGGGGTGAGCTTGTGGTGGGAGCAGGGACTAGAGGCTGACCCTGAGGGTTGAGGGAGGAGCTGGGAAGTGAGACTGGCACATGGCCACGTACACCCAAAGTCACTGCTCAGGTGGGCGTGGAGCCGGAGGACCCATGGGAAAGAGCTCCTTGGCCTGCCTCTGCAGCCCTTCTCTAAGGCCCACACACCATGTGCTGGAACCCGGGCCCTGTGACTCTTGCCCACCCTCAGAGAGAAAGCTGTGGACATCACAGTTGGCCTCCTGACCCTCTTCCTCCCTGCTGAAGGGGACTTCCTTTCCGTCTCAGGAAAATGAGACAGATGTTCTCCCTCCCTGCACACAAAACTGCCTTGGAGGAGACGAGTTTCAGAGGCCAGGGGTCCTGGGCCCCGACCACCCTGTCTCCTCAGGGGTCCTAAGAGGTCAAGACTTGGCTGGGGAGTCTCCAGGGATTTTAGCCATACCAGGTCCAGCTGGGAGTCAGTATCTGAGCACCCATCAAGGGCAACAGCTCGAGGATCTCATGTAGGACCCACGTGCCATGGTGCACTGAACTTGAACCACTCAGGAACCCAGCACAGTGCCAGTGCATAGCAGGTCTCAGAGATGGGCTCCATCAGCATCTGGTCGGCCAACCCACAGGAGAAGCAGGGCCAGGTGGCCTTGGCCATGCCAAAGCAAGTCTAAATAGCAGCTCCTCAGTGAGCCACTGGCCTCGGCTGGCAGCCCAGCAGCTGGCCCTGTGCAGTGTCATGTGATTCCTGCGCCCTTCCCCCAACCAAGGGGCCTCTCCTGTCAGCTGGGTGGGGGGTGGGGGTGCAAGTCGGCACCACACATGCCTGCCCTAGGGGTGTCACCAGTCAGGGGCACAGATGGGGAGCTGCTCCAGCCCCTGCGGAGCTAACCCTGAGCTCCAGGAGGAATAAGGCAGATGCCGGAGCAACGCTGGGCCTTTTACCCCCTTCACCCCCTTTACCCAGCAGAGACAGCAGCGCGGGGCCTCCACTCCCTCCTCTGACGCCTCTTCCCGGGACAGAGAGAGAAAGCAGTCAACAGCCCTGGGATCTGTCCCCAGGACCCTCTGAGCCACCAGGCACCCACAGGCCACCCTTTTCTAGCAGAGCTGAGAGCCCACATGGGCAGCCCAAGCCCCCAGGGATCTGGGAGGGAGAGGAGGGGAGTGGCCCAGTAAACAGCTGAGGCAGAGAAAATGCCTCCCCAAGGGCAGACGACCAGGGAGGAAAGAATGCCACATGGCTGGCTGTTGTGGCCGCAGGGGACGATCTTCCTGTCCTCCCTTTAGCATGCGCAATGTCCCCAGGGCCCTAGAAGCCAGTCAGGAGCTGTGCCTCAGAACAGATGTGGGTCAGTGGACAGGGCAGCGGTGCCCTGGGGCCCTGAAGACAGGGCCCCCACATCTCCTGTCTGTTGGGGCACAGACCACGGCCCTTAGGACAGGGAGAAGAACAAGGTTAGTATGTCACCTGACCAGCTGTATCTCCAGCTGTCCCGGAGGGAGCTGTGGCGGCTGAGCCCCGCGAGCCAGACTCCCTGTAGGTGGAATCATGGCTGCTACGAGGGGAGCCACGGCTGCCTCAGCTCTGTCCTCCCCACAGGGGTTCATGTCTGCACACACCTCATCCCTGTAGCTCAGTTTCCTGTGGAAGCTTCCAACAGGGGTTCCCAGGCGCCTTGGGCCTGCAGACACTCATGGGGCTCTCTTAAGGAGGTCTGGCTGAGCAGGGGGCTGAGGCTCAGGGAGGAGGCCAAAGCCTGAATCACTGTCTCCTCTCTTCACCTGGAGAGGTCACCTCCACTTGGGCAGGTGGCACTAAACCCTCAGGGACCCCATTACAACCCCTGGGCTGCTGTCCAGGGCCAGCGAGTCATCAGGGCCATCCTGGAGCCATGGCCAGCCTCTAGTCAGCATCCTGAAGCTCTGGGAACACGAGGCCCTGCCCCAGGGCCCACCAGACCTGAATGCCACCCCTCACAAAGAGCCCCGACTCCAGCCAGGTCTGGTGGACGGGGAAAACAGCAGCTCTCCCACAGGTGACGGAGGGGTGGGATTGAGGGCATGGCCTGGCCGTGTGGGGGGCAGCACCTGACCCGCCACAGCCCCCAGGAGTTGGCAATAAACCCTGGGCAGGAAAACCTCAGGGAGCCTGTGTGAGGCCCCCCGAGGCTCTGGAACCTTGCCTGACCCCTGTGCTGGGGCAGCTCCTGGACTTTTAGCCTTTGAGTGGGACGCAGCAACCACAGCCAGAACAGAGCAGAGGTATCAGAATGCCAGGCTCTCCAGGTCCTCGGTGGCCAGACACCCTCCTCACTTTATGGGCCTGGAGACAGAGGCCCGGGGGGCGGGGACGGGCACATCCGGGTCCTGGTTCAGTCCCAATGAGGGAGGGGGACCCCAGCATCATGACCCTCCACCCTGGGCCTGCCCCTAACTCCGAGGCCCAGGGCATGAAGAGGACCTCAGCAGGGATGTGGGGTCAGCCGCACTCCAGTCCCCAGCACAGAGCCTCCATGGGCATTACACAGGGTGCCTGGCTGCCATGGCAACAAGTGAGCTGGGCCCACGGCTGCAGAGGCCATGAGGCAGCTCCATGACCCCAGACACTGAAGTCTGGTGACCAGCCTGTGCCGAACCCCCAAAGAGACTGTCCTGCAATCCCAGGACCCTCTCTGCCAGCCTGGGCCCCATGACTTGCCTTGTTAGCATTGGAGACTAAAGAGGCCTCCAGTGGGGTAAGGGAGACCAGCCTTCCAGCTGAGTGTCCACGCTTCTGTCTGTCTGCTAACAGCCAGCTTCTGACTGTCAGGCAACAAGCCACCAGGGCCAGAAGGAGGACTGCAAGGGGACCGAAGGTCCAGATCACCACCACCACCACAGACCACAGTGTCCAGCACACGTGGGCACTCCTGGTACCAGGCCCTTCCCGCCCTCATTGCATCTAATCCTCCCAGCACCTCACCTGACAGATGAGGAAACAGCTGGGCAGGGGTGCGCCCAGGTCAGGAGCCAGGAATCGGCAGCCAGGACAGGGATTTGAACCCTGGCCTGTGCAGACACACCCAGGCCTGGTTGCTATTCTGACCACGGTTACAACCTTAAAGCAGGGCCGGGCCGCTGTCATGCAGAGGTGGAGGAGGGCAGAGACAGGAAGGGCTCCCTCAGGTCACTCTGCAGGTCAGCGTGACTAGGCCAGTGCTTCACACTTGCACCTCTAATGGAGATTTGTGGACACCGGGAGAAGGGCTAACAGTACCACAGCCCCAGGTCAGCTGCAAGAACCAGGACTGGGAGGCTCCATGCTGATGGGCCAGGTGGTGTGCCCCAGGAGTCCAGGGCACTGGGCAGGCTCGGCTGCTCGCCTGGCACCTGCTCAGAAAACCTAATTGTGGCCGTTGTTGCTTGTCCAGCTCTGATACTGGGCCAGGCACGGTGCAGAATGCTCGTCAGGCCTCTTGCCTCACCCGTCCTCACCGGGACCCCGGGGGATGAACCTGCATCATGTCTGTGGTATAAATGAGGAAACCAGGGTCCAGAGAGCAGTAGGTCAGCTCCAAGGCGCCAGGTTGGTGTTCGAGTGCCCCGTTCTAGACCTCAGAGGAGGAGCGCTGACAACACCCAGTGCCCACCAGACAGGCTCCGATACCCCTGCCTTGCTCATGGACTGTCCCTGCGCTCACCCTCTCCCTCCCGGGGGAACTGGGACTGCTGAAGGCTCAGCTCCTTCCATGCCAGGTGGCAGCTTTCAACTTCCATCTCTTGGACTGGGGCTGGGGAGGGTTGCACCTTGGAGGTGCATCTCTAGGAACACGGCTTTTCTGGGCCTGTGAGGCTGGAGGCCCAGCCCTGGGACAAGGTGGCCATGGCATGGTGGTACTACACTGTGGGAGCCCTCTAAGCAGCTGACCAGTAGCCTCTGGGAGCCTGTCCTCAACTGCCTGGGCGCAGCCTCCTGAAACCTCCCCACTGGCTCCTTCCAGAGGCCGTCTGCTATGGGCAGTGAAAAATCTACCTGGACCCTTCTTGCCTGCTACACAGGCAAGGCCTGGAAACTCTGTTCAACCTCCTGGTTGAGGGTCAGGCTCTGCCCTGCCTGCATGCTGCCCAACATCTCTTGAACTTGTCAACAAGGCCATCATCTCCAGAATACCCTACGCCTCCTGGGAAGAGCCCTGCATGCCCAAGTGTCCTCAACCTGGAGCAGGAAAGGGGACCCAGGCCAGCCAACCTGCCTCCCTCCTTCCTCAGTCCCCCAAGGAGCAAAGTAAGAGCCAACAGGGGGGTCCTGGGGGCCTGTGGTTTGTCAGTCCCCTCATGAACTAGATGGGTGATGAAACTGGATCTTTGGAAGACTCCTGGAAGACCACAGTACACAGGGGCCCTCAGACTGTGCCCCTGGCTCTCCAGTGGCAGTACTAAGGAGCCCTGGGGTTGAGCTGTAGAGCTGCCCAGTGTGACCAGCTGGCTAGACAGCAGGGGAAGGAGGGGAGCATGGGGGAGAAGTCCTGGGAGGGGAGAAGCCCTGGGAGGGGAGAAGCCCTGGGAGGGGAGAAGCTGGGGCCCTGCCCTGGGCCTCCCAGGAAGGCTCCCGGGGCTCCTCTGCCTCCACCAGCTTGCTGCCTGCTGCAGTCTAATTAGTTATTTCATCTGTCAAATGGGCTATTAATAGTCTTGACCCCACAGGACAAAATGCATGCAAATGACCTAGCACAGGGCCTCCCAGGAGGCACTGCCTCCTTCAAGCCATTTTTTTTTTAAACCTGTGGGTCTGATGTGGCCTGCCTCCTTCAGAACCTGTCTCCAGGGTCCTCTGGACTGCAGCACTTTCACCTTCCTCTGGAACATAAACAACCCTCTCTGCCCCTCACTGACTGCAGTCCTTGGGAGCCCTGGGAGCCCCCAGGTCGTGGTCCTCCAGCCAGCTCTGCCCTGTGGTGACAGGATCCCCATATCTCCTGCACATGGCAGGCACCCACAGGGGGCACAGCCCATGTTCGAGTCCTGGCTGCCACCCTTGGCTGCGTGTGTGACCAGGCCAGGGGCTTCACCTCTCTGCCCCTAGGCTCCTAGAAGGTGGGGTTGGCGCCTTCTGAAGTCTGGTGCAGGCTGCGGGAATGACCCACTTCTCTGAATCCTCCCAAACCTTTACAAAGGGTGTCACACACTTTCTAATCAGGCAGAGATGAATTGCATCCTGGGCCCGAGGGCCCTGTCCTCTCACTGCCTGGACACCTGGCCCCAAGTGCCAGAGACTGGCTATCCCACCTCCTCCGCTGCCCACAGCTCGTAGGTACTGCAGACCCTCACGCTCCTCTGCCAGACCAAGCAACGATGGCCTCAAGGTAGGGCCTGGACCTGGCGGCCTCAAGAAAGCATGGAACGGCACAGGTCAGACTGGGCCACTGACGTCTTGGCTAAGAGTCAAGAAGACAGGTGGATGCCCAGATGTGCAAGGGCATCTGGCACCCCTGCGAGGGGAAGCCCGGCAGAGGCTTGGTGGGAAGAGTCGGGAAGCAGCCTGCCTGGTGGTTTCCAGACAGGACAGTGGCCTCGAGCAGGGCTGCTTCGGCTCTGGCACACTGCAGCCACCAGGAAATCAGCCCCAGGATGGGGGGGGGGGGGTTGGCAGGAATGACAGGGACTTCCCCACCCCCTCCCCAGGCCCATGCTAAATGGTCATTGTGTTTGGTTTCCGGCAGTGGCCTCCTCTCCTGCCAGGACCCTGGCTTTCCTGCCCCAGCCAGAAGCTTCCCCTCTGATTTCTAAACAGCAGCTATGAGCTGCACCTCAGTGCTGAGGCCCAGGGAGGGAGAGCGACGAGCCGTGGACAGCCATGAGGGATGGAGCTCAGCTCTGCCTCTCCCGGGGCTCCTCAGGGATGCAGATGGACAGAGTCAGAGAGAATGGGCCCTACCCCAGTCAGGAACCTGCCCAGCCCCTGCGAGCACTCTGGCCAGACCCTCCCAGCACACAAAGCCCCAGGCACTGCCAGATGTAATGAAAGCCAGATGAGTGCTGGGCTGGTGTCAGGCCTCCCACCCCCACGCTCCCAGGGGTCCTGCTCCAGCTGACAGAGGACCAAGAGTGCTGGGTGGATGGGGGTCCGGCAGCACACCTAGCCTGAACACCAGCCAAGCTATGGAGTTCTCCGGGGCCCCGGTTCCCCCACAGAGCTCCCAAGTTGGGCAAGAAAACATGCTTTGTCCAGGCCTTGTCTAGGCAGAGGAGTGAGGGGGCTGCTTCTCATTCCACTACCCCTGATGCACATCAGGTGCAGTCAGGCTGAGGCAGAGGACATCACCCACCGTCCCAGTGCCCTGCCCCTGTTCTGGGCACATTAGAAACAGGAGTGCCAGCCCTCACCCAGTACTCCTCCTCTATCCATGATGGGCGAGTGAGCCCCCTTCTCTGAATCCTCCCAAATCCTTGTGGATTAAGGATGCAGGCATGTTATCTAATCAGGCTCAAATGAATCACACCCTTGGTCAAGGGTCTTGTCCTCTCACTGCCTAGACACATGGTCCCACAGGTTGTAGACCAGCTAACCACGCCTTGTTCCCCTGCCTGCTGAGCAGCACTGATGGGTTCCAGGAGGCCAGACCCATATCTGCTCCAGAAGGCCCCTGCAGTCTTAGCCACCTGGGGATTACAGGATTCAGCCACCCCAACCCTTTGCTGGGCACTTGCACTGTGAAGTCTACCAATGTGGAGCAGGCCCTAGCAGGCCAGGCCCCTGCGGTTGGCAAGATCACAGGCCACAGGCATAAAAAGGTGACAGTGCCCAGGGAAAAGGTTTACCTGAGCTGCGGGAGCTGGGGTCGCCACACTGGGCTTGAGCAAACCCAGCTCTCGACCTGAACTGCTAGACAGGCGTGCTAGCAGCCGCCATGCCCACCTTGCTGCCTTGGGGATGGAAAGAGGAGGGGGTTACTGCAAAAGGAACCCCCAACCCACGCACCTACGGTGAAGGGAGGTGGCCAGCTAAGGACGCTGGGCCGCCGTCCAGTCCTCCCTTGAGAGACACAGCTCACCCACCTCGAGGCGCGGCAGATCTGGGTCCAGCTGCGTGAAGCTGTGTAGCACCACCGGGCAGCTGTCGGGGACGCCCACCTCCAGGCGCACCGCGTCCCACACACTGCGGCTTCGCCGGGAGCCCGGGAACAGCGGCTCGGCGCCGCCCGCGGGCCCGGCCGACTCGGCCCACATGCGCTGCACCATGGACTGCTCGTGGCGGCGCGGGCGGCCGGCGGGCCGCGGGACCCCGGGCGGCGCGGGCGCGGGCGCGGGGCCGGCCCGGCTCCGCGCTGCCTGCGCTCTGCGCCCGCGGCCCGGCCCCGCTGATGTCAGGCAGGGGGCGGACCCAGGAGGAGGCGGACCCAGGAGGAGGCGGATCCAGGAGGAGGCGGACCCAGGAGGGAGGCGGGACCGGCACGGGCAAGGGGCGGGGCCGGCCAGACCAGGCGCGTGTGCCAGAGCACCGTGGCACTCGGCGGAGCCGGCCCGCGGGTGCGCGTACGCGCTGGCGCAGTGGGTGTGCTGCATGCGTGAGATGCGTCTTGCCAAGGTGTGCTGAAGTCAGCCCAGCTCCTCCGAGTCCAGTGAAGCCCCTCCCTAGTGTGCCCCCCCACCCCCACCCCCCGCTGTTGCTTAACCTCGCGGAGCGCGGAGCCTCAGTTTCTTTATCTGGAAAACTTGGGTAACGAGAACGACTTCCTCAAAGAGCGGCTGGGAGGATGGCATTGGGTCATGACGTGCGGCACCGGGCCGATGCCTGCGCGTGGTGTGGCTATGTGCTCACAAGAGCAGTGGAACTGTGGCAGTGGCCTCGGTACACAGCAGCGTTGGGCTGTGTGGTGTGGAGCTGAGGGAGGACGGTGCCCTACCCTTTCTAGAAAAAGGTCTAGCCCCTTTGGGTATTATGGCCACCCCAGAAGGGGTCCAGGTGGAAGGGCAGCCAGGGATCCGGGAGAGAACCAGAGAGTGGGCTGAGGCCTGCAATACCCAAGGAGGGAGGGATCTAGAACTACAGATGCCTGGCAGAGCCCCTGGCCCCTAGCCGGGTCAGCTGGAGCCGCTGGTGGCTTGAGCATTCATGGAACTGGGGCAGTAGTTCCCTGGCAGAGCCAGGGAGCCTCAGCTATTCTTTCTGGCAGGCAGGGAGGAGGGAAGCAGGACCAGGCCAGGTTTGGAGAACACGTGTAGAATGGGTGAATGAATGGGTTCCTTCCTCACATTCAGTCTCCTCCTTGCACCTGTGCCATCTTCACAGAGGTGGGGATCTCTGTCAGCAGCCCTTGCAATGTCCACCACCTCTCCACAACTGTCCCAAACCACTGGGCCTGTTTCTCTATGTGTAAAAGGAGAGAGCAGTCGAGAGCACACCTTCCACAAGCACTCCCTGCGCACCTACTGTGCCCAGCCCCACACTTCTGTTGGAGCTGTGAGGTAAGGAAGCCACCCTAGCCCTGTGACCCCACAGAATGGCTGGTTATTTCCAGGTGGGGCTGTGTTCTTACATTTTCTAGTTTTTCTAAAATGTCTTTGTAACCAGGTATGTGTATTAAATGGTGTTTTGTTTTAAAAAGTTAAGATGGGACTCAGATCCCCAGAGGTTGCTAAGGAAGCATCCCAGTCCTGCCTCCATGGAGGGTGAGGTGGGTGGGCACATCAGAGGAGGGACTGGGGACCTGCACATGGCCCTGGGCACAGCCTCTTCCCACCTGCTCCTGAGCCAGGTTCTCTGAGCTCCAGCACCTGCCCAGCTGGCTTGATCGCCTGCCCCTCTCTTAACTCATTCTCCCCAGGTGAGCCCCTGCCCCCTCCAGTGAGTCCTGATGCACCTGGCCTTGCCACCCCTCCAGCCTTGAAGGTTTGGGTGGGGTGGCCCAAGGAGGCTGGAGAGGGGGAGGATCCCCCAACGGCTGGCCTGACCGCCTGCTGGCCCACCACCTGCCTGTGCATCATGGATGCAGGGGTCCCCATCGTCTACTAGCCAGTCCCTCTGGCTGGTGTCTGCGGATTTTACAAAGCTCCCCTCTGGTGAGCCTGTTATGGTTCTTGATGCATACATAGACACACCCTAAGATCCAGGGAAGCCCAGCTCCCTTCCTACCCTGTGACTCCCGTCTGCCCCAGGAAGTCACCTTTGTTAAGGGGTAGAAGCTGTTGAGGCAGCAAACAGAAGCTCCTGCCTAGTGTGGGTGCCCAGTGCCTCACCCCTGCAGCCTGAGATGTGGCCACACCATTAGAGGCTGACTCCCTGGGCACCTCCTGCATACAAGACCCTCTCCCGAGGCTTCACGTGAACACACCCTCCCTCAGAACTCTCCTCACAAGTAGATCTCTTACCAAGGACAGGACCATCTGAAAGAGGAGACAAGGACAGCATGTGTCACAATGGAAGGACAGCACCATGCACATGTGCTTACCAAAACCCAAAGCATCCAGAAAGGCCTCTGCATGGAACCAACATCTGAGGGGCTCACAGGGGACAAAGGGACATGTTAGATGCACACTAGAACACAACCTCCGAAGGCCAGGTTGTGCAAACCTCTAGAGAAACAACCAGTTTCTTCAACAAATACACCGGGGGGGGGGGGACGACTATACATTAGCAGAAGGGAAGTGACACCAATCAAATGCAAGACATGGATTCTGGATCATGATTTGAACAAGGCAACAGTTTAAAAAAGAGAGAGAGACAACTGTGATTACAATGGACCCTCCTTATCTAAGGGGGATACCGTCCAAGACTCCCAGTGGATAACTGAAACTGAGGACAATACTGAACCCAAGCACTACAATACTGCACATCAATCTGATAACCAGGTGGCTCAGTGACTAACAGGCAGGTGGCGTATACAGTGTGGATACAGTGGATGAAGGGATGATTTCATGTTCCAGTGGGTAGAAGGGACAATGAGAGATTTCATCATGCTGCTTAGAACAGCATGAAATATAAAACTCTTCAGTTTTACATTTCTAGAATCTTCTGTTTAATTTTTTGGGAACTTGGTTGACCTTGGGACACTGAAACCATAGAAAACAAAATTGCTGATAAGGAGTGACCACTGTATTTGAACACTACTGGATATCTGAGGTCATCAGACATAATCATTTTTAAGTGTGATAATGGCACTGTGGTTACTATTAGAGTCACGTACTGTAGTATCTGTGACTGGAATGATGTGCCTGGGATTTGTAAATGTTGTCCACTGCGGGATGGTGGGAAACGGGGACAGGCTGTTAAAACTGAGTGTCTTTATGTCATTTTTCTATTTTCATGTCAGTTTGGACTTATGCACAATAACAATCAACAAGAAGGGCTCAACTGGAGACTGACCCTCCTATGCCCCTTAAACTCCCTGCAGCCTTAAAGAGGGCCACAGACTTCAGACCCCAGCCAAGGCAGTGACACTTCACTCTGTACCCAGGACAGAAAAGGCTGGTGGCCCCACTTGGGCGCCGGCAGTGGACATCTGGGAGAATGTGAGTCCTAATGTCCAGACGGTGCTGTCAGAGGAGGGTGGTGGCTGTGTGCAGCCCCAGTGGCCTTGGGAAGGCCTGAGCACAAGGCTAATGCTGTCCCTTGCACTTGGGGTACCTGCTAGAAGCAAGCAGAACCAGGGGGAGCACAGGGAGGCCCCTGGGGAAGTGGGAGGTTAGGGAGCAGTGTCTCTCCCTTCCTCCCTCATCATACCCCAGCCCCCCACCCTGGGAGTGCATCTGCCCTTCCTTGGGGGGTAGAGCATGACAGACCCCGAGAACAAAGCTGTGTGGATCTTGTGCAGCCGCGATGTTCCTCGAAGGGAAATTCTCAAGGCTGTGAACTGACAGCTGGAGACTAGAGCCAGGCTGAGTCTGGCCACACGTGTGTTTTGTTTGGCTTGCAAAGTGTTTTAAAAATTTTCAGCCAACAGTAAAAGGTCAGGTGACTTCATATAAAGATCTGTATTTCCGGCTTCTCCTGTAACGTCAGATGACCTGACCACACCAGGTCTGTGTTCCCACATGCCCTGAGAGGCCAGGCGGGAGCTGACGGCCCCTGCTCCCTTTAGCTGAGACATGGGCTTGGAGTTTGCCACAGACACCTGGGCACTGACCATCACTCACTGGCTGCAGAAAGTCCACCTTGGCTCACAGGAAAGGTGTACTCGGGCCCAATGGCTATGTCTGTCTCCTGTCCCTGCACATCAGTGGATTCCCAGAACACAGCATCCAGAGGGGTCCTGACCTTTTTCAAAGCCCACCCAGCAAGGCTCACATACAACTGCTGCAGGTCCCCAGAGAGCGCTCCGGCTCTGCTGGAAGCCTGCCGCCTTCTCTGTAGTGAGCACCTGACAGCTGGTGCACACACCACACCCCGTGGATGTTCCAGCCAGGACCCAGGCCTGCGTTTACACTGGTCCCAGGGAAGAGTGTTCCAGTCCTGGGGTGCAGGCAGCAGTGAGGAGCAAGAACTGAGTACAGGCAACATGGGGGCAACCACAGCCTGGGTATCAGCCCTCCAGCCTGGACTGGGCACAGCCAGCAGGGCAGCAGCAGGCTCCAGACGCAGCCTGGGCGTGGGTGGAAAAGCATTTCTCCTCTTGCCGGGCAGGTGGAGTCACCCCCGTCTGCCTGGAGTTCTACATTTAGAGCACGGGGAAGACACAGGGTGTGGCCAGGTCAAGCCCCTCTGTCATTTCCCGGCAGGGACATCACCATTCCTGGACTGCCTGGGTCCTGGGGTGGCCCTGTGTGGGTGAGTGAGCACACATCATTGGCAGGCCGTGACGCACCTGGGTGAGCAGGGGTGTGCCCAGCACAACGGGAGGGCCTCCCTGGGCCCCGCCTCCTCTGTGCCCGAGTTCTGGGGACCACCAGTGGCCTCCTCCTACCCCAGGATTGGCAGGGGTGTCTCTGGGGGCTGAGGTGGAACTCCGAGCTGGTCAGGAAGTGGGAACTGAAGCCCCGGGGAGGCCGCACAGGGTGGAGGGATGGGAGGTGGTCATCACCCCAGTCTGACCTCACAGGGCGTTCCTGTCGAGGGCTCCACCAAAGCCTGGAGCCTGGAGTCGGCCCAGGCTGGGGACCTGGAGGCGGGGGCTCAGCGAGGGGCACGTGGGGCCTTGCTGCCTCCTGGAAAGAGGGCTCGCAGCCCAGCTCGCTGGCTCTTCAGGTGTCGAGCAGAGCTAAATGGCAGTCCAGGGGTCACCAAGAGAAGTGCTGCCCGTGGT